TTTTTCTTGAGGAAAAATGAAATTCCAGTTGTGTATGCGTTTTTAGCTCGAGCTAGGCGGCACAAACGACCATTGGATCACTCAACCTCATAAAAATAGTCGCCACCACAAAACAAGTATACAATTATACTTCGGATTTGTTGGTGAAGTGTTAAAAATGTATTAATTAATTGCGTTTTTTATTTAAGTTTTATAAAGAAAATTATAAAAGTTAATTTTTTTTTCTTATCATCAATGTTATATGCGTATTTTTAATTAAATAATTAATAAAATTAAAATTATTTTTTTTATTTTTTAATATAAATTAAGCGAAATATATAATAAATACATTTTTAATCGTATGTTAAGAATATATGTTAGAGATTTTTTTAGACAGACAAGCCGGTGACATATATATGGCACTTCGGACATAAGTTTTAAATAATTAAAAGACTAAAACCATTTAAATATTTATTTTAAAATATAAATTATTTGATTTTTTTACAAATAACTTTAGATAATATTTTTTATAATATATAAATAATAATTGAGATTTTTTCTTTTCTTATACGTAGTTTTTGTTGAATGGTTTCATTTGATCAAAATAATTTTTAATTATCATTTATATATTATAAAAATATATTACCTAAAATTATATTAAAAAAGTCAAATGACTTATATTTTCAAATAGATGGAGTAGCATTTTTTTAACCCAATTAAAATTAAACTTTATCCTCTTTTTTTTTCTTTTTAATCTTGAATTGTATAATAAAAAATATTTCTTTTTCTTTCCTTAACTTATCCCATCTACATATAACTTAAATTCAAAATTTTTTTAAAAATTACTACTAAATTATTTAAATAGTTGATATTCAAATGTTATATATGACTGCAAAATTTTCATATAACCTATCTTTTATCTCATTAAAAGAGTAAATAACCACAAATAATCTAGGAGAGCTACATATCTTCAATTTAAAAGACTAACCACACTATTAATCATTTATATATCTAATTTATTTTCATAAATAATTTTTTCGACATAGGACTTATGATTTTTCTGATTGACAGTTGGTTATTTATCGGACGTTTGGAATTAAACAGTTTCTGTATAGATAAATAATGATATTCATTGAATCTCCTTTGGAATTGAACAAAGGTGTGTTTATGTACAAGCGACGAAAATCTTAGGTAAAATTTAGGTAAGAAGGGAAACAACTTAAGCCTAAAACAAAAGAAGTAACATACAAATGTAATCTCATTCTCCACAAAATCGGATACTACTATGTATAGTTATTCTTCTTTGCTTTTTTATAGAGATACGTATAATTCTAGGTTTGTTTAAAATGACAAGTGGGGATGGTGAAAAACACAAGTGATGACAGTAAATAGAATTTATGAGACGAGTACTGCAACAGCTAGATTTGGAGGTTTTAAAACTGGACATTGATTTAGTGATTAATTAAGGATATCTCGGGGAAGATTTAAGTTCTTGAAAAAAAAAAAAAAAAAAGGACCCACAATTTTGCTTAAAACCATTGCTATATTTGGGCTCAAAACTACATTTCTTCCACTCCTTTACTTCCATTTTCTTCGTCTTGCCAGTTGCCACCACCATTGATCATCCGCCGTCTCCTCCGCCAGCCACGGTATGCCAGCTATGAACCGCACCCTAGAATACCCAATCATCTCAACACTCCAATACTGGCTAGTGAACCACCCCAAAATCCTTCATTTCTCATGGAACCAGGGCCAAACCACAGCCTCCTCTCCTCGCTTCCTCACCTTGACTATCCTTTCCTACCTCTTCTTTACTTATCTCCTCTCCCAAGAACTACCTCGCTGGCCTCCCCTCCCCCGCCGCCTCCTCAAATCCATCTCCGCCATCCACAACTTCACCATCCTCACTCTCTCCCTCACCATGGCAGTTGGATGCTCCCTCTCCATCTTCTCCTACTCCCCCAACTTCTCCTACATCATTTGCTTCCCTAAATCCACCACTGCCACTGGCCCTTTCTTTTTCTGGGCCTACATATTCTACCTCTCCAAGATCCTAGAGTTCATGGACACCCTTCTGATCATCTTGAGCAACTCCATCCAACGGCTGACGTTCCTCCATGTCTACCACCACACCATGGTCTTGACCATGTGCTACATATGCTTAAGTAGTGCACAATCTTCCTTCCCCATGGGCATAATCACCAATTGCATGGTACATGTGTTCATGTATAGTTACTACTTATTAACTTCACTAGGGATCCGCCCCAGGTGGAAGAGAATGGTGACGGATTGCCAGCTTCTGCAGTTCTGGTCGAGTTTCGGGATTCTGGCGCTCCTTCTGTATTTCCATTTTACAGGATCAGGTTGCTCCGGCATATGGAGTTGGTGCTTCAATATGTTCTTCATCAGTACCCTTCTGGTCTTGTTCACAGATTTCCATACAAAGACTTATTCTCTTAAAACCAAGGGTGTTTAAATATTTAATTAGAAAAAAATATATTATTAATAATTAATATTCTATCATTAATGAATCTTTAAGGTCTTCATTTTCTCATACACTTTCCAGGGAAATACACTGTCACTGCAAGAAAATGGACATTCTATGAAAAAAATTAGTTATAAAAATTTATATTTTTTATCACAAATTAAATTTGTATTTAAAATTTAAATTTTTATAATTAATTTTATCATCGCAAAATGTGTATTTTCTTGTGGTGTCTATTTGTGTGCCATTGTCAAATTAATAATAATAAAATACGCAAATACGGTTTGGGAAGGGTGCCATTCAGTTTAGTTCGGTTCGGTTTGGTTCCTGCTATAACTGGTATCCAAAATGAACAACACCAGTTCAGGAATGTAATTTGTAATTCAATTCTGAAATGTATTTATTAGAAAAACAATGGACTCTGTAGCTACTACATTGGCATATGTCAATATCATGTTGTATTATTGTACAAGGAAACATTATACCTCTCTAGTATAATATATATATATATATACATAGTGTGTATTTCTAATATAGTTTCAATATATGCTCAACTGTATAAAAAAAGGACTCTTGAATGAGGATTTGTCCTTGCATTTAGAAGTCTCCTTCATTCAAAGATCAATTTTGTACAGACAAAAGCCAGGCTCCACAACTTTTTATTATTTTAGTACTGTCTATATCAGAACCTAAAAAAAGGTACATTTATTATAAAAATATAATTCCGTTGTTTTATTATTGTACAAGAAAACATTATACCTCTAGTATATATATATTTTTTTGATATTTATAATTAGTTTCCATATATGCTCGACTGTATAAAAAAGGACTCTTAAATGAGGATTTGTCCTTACATTTAGGAGTCTCCTCCATTCAAAGGTCAATTTTGTACCGACAAAAGCCGCACTCCACAACTTTTTATTACTTTAGTATTGTCCATATCAGAACCTCAGAAAAAGGTACATTTAGTATAAAACTATACTACTGTTGTTTATAGTTTAAATTATTTTAAATTATAAAAAATATTATAGGAAGATAAATTTAATATTAAAAAATTAAATAAAGATTATTATTTTATAATTTAAAACAATCTAAATTATAAAATAATTTTTAATAAAAATATAATAAAAAAGTAAAATATAATCTACGTAGGAGATGTTGCACTACAGCATTCTCAAAACATAAACTGAGCCCAGAAATCAGCCTGGATATGAAAATGACAAATTGCTGCTCTAGGCTGAAATGACCTTTATGTCCTTAACAGAGGCTCATAATTATCAATTATCAAACGCATGGGATCTTCTTAAGGGCATAAAAGTCATTGCGATTCCAAATAAAATATTATCCTTTAGTCGGTTCCATTATATATATATAATTAGATTATGAGAAAAAAAAAGTCTAATTTAATAAGGAAAAAGTTTCCTCAACATACCCAAAATTGAACCAAAATAAAAGCTTTTTTCTATTTTTTGACAAAAGTCTATTTTTAGCCCCTCACCTTATTAAGTTTAAAGATTTTAACCTATCACCTTACCAAGTTTAAAGATTTTAGCCTCTCACCTTATCTCTTGACATTTTAACCCCCTTACTTTATTAAATTTGTAAGTTTTAATCCATCACATTATAGTATAATATTTTTAACCCCCACCTATTACTATTGAAAAAAATAACTCTCACTTTGTAACATTTTGTTAGTTCTGTTAGTTGACTGTTAATTCTATTAATTAACTGTTAGTTGACTGTTAACTTAAAAAATCTTTTTTTCAGTTAATAGAGTTAACGGAACTAATTTTATAATATTTTGTTAATTCTATTAATTGATTATTAGTTGACTGTTAGTTGATAAAAACTTACTTTCAGCTAATAAAATTAACAATCAGTATAAAATAATGACTATTTTCTTCGATTTTAATAAGTGAAGGGCTAAAACCTATAAATCTAATAAGATGATGGGTTAAAAATATTATAATATAAAATAAAAAGTTAAAACCTTCGAAACTTAATAAGGTAGGTGATTAAAAGTAAGTTTTTGCCCTACTTTTTGGGCAAACCATAAGTTGAGTCATCTAAGTCAGGCCCAAAGAATACTAGAGTCATAAAATTAGAAGTTATTAGTTCATAGACAGACTGAGATTACCATGATCAGGCCCAAAAGCCAATTTAATTATCTTTACTTCGAAATAAATATGAAAATAATGAAATAAGTAAGCACCGGTTACCTTCATCACCCAACCTAAACAAAGTGAATGCCATGAATCTTAAAACACCAAGGTTTAACTGTTGTAGATGAGAGCCCCCCATTCCCTAATTCTTCATGTTCAAAAAATAACTCGCTTCTAAAGTTATGGGGTTTGGAAAGATATTTTTTATACTAATTTTAAATAAAATATCAACTACAACTCGATACTTAGGAAAAAATTAACTAATAACTACAACAATTTATAACAGTCAAAACCAAATAGTCTCATGCAATATAATGTTTCTCAATTTTAGAATTCACAGAAAATGGTAGTAAATGTTACATACTCCCTGTTGGCAAAAAATCCACCTTTCAGATTTATTAGGGATGCAGAAAAAATTGTTCAAAAATAAGGCTCAATTTATCAGGGGATTTGCCTAGTTGTTTCCCTGATGCACCTGCAGCAATGGCTGCAATGGTAGGATGGATCTTAGACTATGGACATCACCGTGGTTCAAATCCTTGTGATGTAATCCCCCTTTCCCCAATTTCCCTGAGTTAAAAAAAAAGAAAAAAAAAAGAAAAAAAAAAAGAAAAAAAAAAGAAGGAATTAAAAGAATTCAAAAACCAGCCCTCAACAATCCCCATCCTACAGTCAATATGGAGGCAACCCTTGGTAGTCCTGCAAAAAATTCAGCATAAACGTATATCATAATACATCTGTACCTTCAAGCAGTTCTTTCTGTATCGAATTCTCTCCGTCAGGCAGCAAAATTGGATGGCGATGGTGATTACTAAGCTGAGTTTGCAGTCACCTTCTTTCGGACAATCCTCCTTCTTCGGGGTTTGGGGGTAGGGGTACTCGTTTCTCCATGAGCAGACTGGACATTCTGTCTGATACCGAGGAGTCCAAGACTGGAAACAATGGCATTCTTGGATATAAACCATTTTGAAGGTGACCTAGTCATGCCCTCGGAAGGCCTGTTGTAAGCCTTCCAGAGGTTATCTGATTGTGCAAGTGGTTCTGCTTCAATCCCCAGCCAGGCCAACCTTGATCTCTCTCCTATTTGAACATTCAAAATCCTGCATAAAATCCATCATATAAGTAGCCAATGAAGAAATGTATGTCAAATGACTCTAAAACTCCAATAATTTCTTCTTGATTGTGGCCACCACTGGCAGTATAACAATTTAGTGCAACTAGCCATGACATGAGGGGTAAACTAATAACTACAGATAGGAAAATGAGAAGACTGCATGATTGAATAGAAGGACCTTGGCAAAACCTGGATGCTAAAATCTTAAGAAATTATAATGAAATGTATAACTGCCTCAAGAAAACTAAGAATAGGATTAAATCACAAGATCATTTTAGCACATAGAAAGTAAGAGACCTCAAAGCTGTGCCGAAGAACACTGCCACTCCAATGACATCAAAATGATTTATCATTGTTTGGTCAAACCCACATAAGAGTTGATATCTCATGTTTGCATAAAGTCCCAAGAAAGCACCATAACCAAGAGCATTAGAACTCACAGTTGGAGTAGTAACCGATAACCTGTGGTCAACAAATACACCAACAGTTAACATACCTAGACTGACCAAGGAATTCCCTTTTCTAAAACAAAATAATATTTACCTTTCCTTCTTTCTACCAGCCAAAAGATTTGACAAAGAACCTTGTATTGCTCCAGCAGTTAATCCAACAATACACAACTCTGCAGCTTTGTAGAAAAGAGAATGGATTCTCTTTTGCAAATCAAATTCTCTAAGTGGGTAACTCCGCTCAAATATATTGTTTGGAAGCTTCTGCAATGTGTTTTGCAAGTCGAACTGGAATGTATTACCATATGAACGACAAGGGGCAAGTGACCAAACAACAATAGCATTACATGCCGCTACTGTGAGTACATTAATAAGTGCTAGATCCCATTCTTGCTTTATCCTATACCAACAAAAACGTAAATGTTTATTAGCTCAACTTACAGCGAATAAAAAGAAAACTTAAAAATGGTTATTCAATCTTGCAATAGAAGAAGCACCTATCCTTACGATTTGTGATCTCCCACCAAACACAAGAGCCAATAGTAGCAACCTGCTCTAAAAGAAGCCTATATAAAAATGCAGGATCTGCAAGCATCCTGAGAAGATAAGATTATAAATAAGTGATCCAAAAATAAACTATAAACACTTGAGCATCTCATTGTTGAACAGTCACCACATATTGAAAAGAAAGATAAGTAGTTAAAGAACTCAGATGATTGATAATAATATCCTATAGAGGGAAGACCCAGAAACAAATATACTATCATTCACAATTTTTGAGGAATATCTCTAAAGCAATCTGTGCAAGTACATTGATCATTTACACATATTTTCACTGCAAGATAAAATCTCAAGTTGCTCAAAAGGTCCTAAGCTTAAGAACAAAGTTGTATTTCAAGGTTACAACTATTAGGTTGAAACTACAGATAAATCATGGCATAACTAGAGTATGAAGCAACCTGCACATGTTTAGATAGAAAATAAAATTACATACATTTCAATGAATTAATTTAGTTCAGTGATATTGATGAAAACATATTTAGTTAATTGGATTTCAGAACTAGTCAATTGAGAGCTGGAGCTCACAGACTACATAAAACATCCAGCTCTTGACTTATCAAATTCAAAGGTGACATGGATTTCAATCAGTTTGCCATACAGAACACAATCTGTTCAGTCTGAAGGTTCGTAAAAGAGAGAGAAGCAGCACCATTATCACTTACCAAAAAGAGAAGCAAAAAACAGAAGAAAAAAAATATTAGGTGTGACTCTATAGGCAGGCAGCAATAAGTTCAAAAGAATGTTCAAGTCTTTAAGCTGCTAATATATGAAAAGGTAAAGAAAATGGAAAAGGTAATTCTTATCACTTAAGCTCTAATATTACCTCCCAATAAATGCCCTAGAGATTCCTTGAGGAAGCACTCGAGAAATGAATCTACTAGTGGTAGGTCTAGCATTCATTGCTAGACATTTTACCATTTGGGCTGAACTGACCAACCCCTACAGGCAAGGAGAACAAGGATTGACTTGATTGAGTGAATATCTCGCCACAGAATACTTAAACCAAAATTAAATTAATTAAAAATTACAAAAATACTAGACCATTTCATAAGCCTGACGGAAGCCAGTAGGCAAGTCCATCATTGTCCTGTGCCACTCATGCAATACAGCATCCACAAATTTTCGATCAAAAATCTGCACAAGGAAAGTACATAAATCATTAGTCCACATGGAAACTTATTTCTTGATCTTATTGCATGATCGATCATCGATCAGTAGCATAATTTGTTAAAAATCAAAATTAAGCACATTTGGGTACTTCTCGCTCTTACCTCTTGAAGAAATTTTCGTCTTCTAAACATTCCACCCTCATCTCCCTCATCATCATCATCAAAGTCATCAAAGTAATCATCATCATCACCATCATCACCTCCATCCCCACCTCCATGATTGATTTTCTTTCCGATATCTCCACCACCTCCTCCAGTAGCAAGCTGTTTCACTCAAATGAAATTAGCTGGTTTGTCCAAAATTGTTATCAGTTGTAGAAAATGGGGTGGAGTAACCCACTGAAAGAAGAAATTCTCTACTTTAAACTAAAACCTTCAAGCTAATAGTTAAATGGTTAGTAGCAAATGAGTTTGGCAAAAGAATGCTCCCAATAAACAGACATGTTGAACTGATACCTTATGCAATGCCAGCAACACAATTTATTTAATTTAGAGAGCCACACTTACAGACATTCTACAGACTTGAAATTTGGAATGAATTATAAACATAAACTGAAACTGAATTAAAAATATAGAGCAGCAATTCAACTGAGAAAAATAGAAGTTGCCCAAATGAATTGGTTCAAACTTGAAGCTAAACAAAGAAATCTCAAGAATGTGGAATTATACCTATTTCTACAAATAAAAATCCATTCTTTAAATTCTTAAAAACGGTTCCTCGCTCTTAATCTTAGAATTGAACATATATCCTTCTGAAAGTACGCTTGAATAATTCAGAATTCAATCTTTGACTTATAATGAAAACAGTAAACACTGACCTCAGGGGAAGACACCTGCTTTTGTTCTTTTGAAATCTCTAGCTTCCCTTTCTCTAAAGTGGTCGAACCACCGAAAGCACCAAACGGTCCCTTCATCACATGGCCGCCCTCCCCAGTCCGAGATACATGCGAACACGACAAGGGCTCCACAGGAGCCGGTGGCAACGAGAAGGAGCGCTCAAGAGAACCATGGGCAGTATTTCCACCCTCAATCAAGGCCGAAGAGGAGCACCTCACCACTAAATTCCTCCGCAACTTCAACCCTATCGCACGGACTACCGGCGGCGGCAGACAGGGCTTAGGAGAGAAGGTTTTGGGAAGTGGGGTTGTTTGGAACACCAAGTGAGACATTTCCCCGCTTCAAGGTCTGTGTTTGGAAGGAGAGAGTTAAAAGCTGCAAAATTTTCCGTACCCAGAAAAATTTTCCTCAATAATGTTTCTTGATTCTTTCCCTTCCCGGAGAAAGAAACGGGAGGTGATTGAGGCTTTCGTCCCTAAAATTCAATAAATAGTATATTAAGTATGTGAGTTATTTTAATTTAATTTAAAAATAA